GTATTTACCGCTTATTTAAATAGCTTGCACCAGTTGCGTCTGTTTGGAAACGCTCCCCAGTGCATTGTGCTGTCTGGTCGTAAAACCGTCGAATAATCTAATAACGTGATTTTATGGCATCGACGCCGACATCTGTAATAGCTAAACAAGGTTGGCACCACGTCAAGAGATGGAGATCAATTAATCTAGGCCGAGGCGTGCCCATCGACTGGCATTTTCTAGGCTGACACACCTGTTTTTTAGGAATCTTAATCCCTGAGACTTCATAAAAGATTTTTTGTTGAATTAAAAGTGATATAAGAGAGAGTGTAAAAGAATGAAATGCGTCTTCTATAAAAAACATTGGTGGTTTTTGTCCGTCACTGCTGGGGATTGCATTGGTGCAATGTAGGCTTTGTTCACAAGGTGCACTTTTGTTGCTGGGATAGTGAGCTAACGAGAATGCCCGAGCCTAAGGATTTCTGATCTCTCTGTTTTATCTCGTTCCTTATTTGCAACAAAATGTGGTTTAAAAATGAGAACTTTTTCAGTGTAGGATTTCTGCAGATGGTGTGACCCCCCCCTCTGCACCGTGTCTTTGCACTCCAAATTGCTCGTTAACCCATGCACCTCCTAGTTGTTTTAGAAGGATGTTCTGCATGTAAAGATTGCATCGGTACCGACACTACAGACGGGTTACAACCTATCTGCAAACAACATACAATACATTTGAATATATATATATTATTATTATTATTATTATCATCATTTTTTTCATTTAATTTAATCTTTGCATTTTCTGTCATAAAGGGTTTACATTGATGTACAACTCACTTCAATTGAAGTCTGTTTGTTTTTCTTTGTTTTGTTTTCCTTTTAATACAGATTTTTTTAGGAGCATTTTTCTTTTCTTTCTTTTTTTTTCTTTTTATAATGCATCTGAACGCAGCTCTTTTTCTGCCAATGTGTCCATGCGCATCGTGGTGTTTAAATATGTATTTTACAGCAGCATGAAGTCCCCATTCACATCTAGATGTTTTTGGAATGTGTGTCACATGCACCTAAAAATGCATGCTTTGACGCGCTTTCCCCAAATGAGTGTAAACGCGAAACGTGCTTGCGTTTCTATTACTAGTTAATGACACCAGCCGGAAAATCACGTGTCTCCTACATACATTTGCACGTGCGAAATAAACACAGGACGCGCAACTATTTTTCTACATGGCCTTCTTTTCTGCGTTTGTCGTGCGTACAGGAACCCATTAAAATCAATGGGGATGCGTGGCAATCGTAGAAAGAAAATGTGCAAGAACTCGCACAAACCCATGCAAACGCAACGTGCGTCCCCGCTGCGCTTATGTGTGAATGGGGACTTGGGGTCGCAAAAATGTAACGAATAGAATACAATTTTAATTATTGTCAATGGAAATGTCGTATTAAACACACGGGGTATACTTTTTTGTGTGTTTATGCTGCGCGTTTTGTTGCGCAAGCACAATCTACCAGCTGAAAACGCACATGAAATTTTTTTTTAAAACCCCTCAAAACATGCGTAAAAACGTGCAAAAATGCTAGACAAAAAAGCACAAAGAAACACCTTTAAAACGTACGGGGATATGCATGTCAATTCATTCTAGTGACGACAATAAATGAATACGCTAGCAATTAGAGTTCATGTGCATACGTGTCTGAGTCCCCAATCACACCAGGGCGACAGCATTTCAGCGCTTTTTTAACTGCGTTTTTGTGTGTTTTTTATGCGTGTTTCAGCACGTTTCACAGGCGTTTTCTGTTCATATGTAAGAGCATTTTCAGCTCGTTTTCAGTTGTCCAATAAAAAGCAGCCTCAGGTGCAAAAATGCAAAACAGCGTGAAAAATGGCTAATCAGCGTGTTTCCATTGCAGTCTACAGCGCAAAACGGGCTGCTAAGCGCCGCAGAAGAAGCTCATGGACTATTTTAAACAACGGCCGCATTGTTACATGCGATGTAGCGCGTTTACGTGAATGGCCCCTATAGGAATACATGGGATTTTGATTTGCATGCGTTTCAGCACGGGAAAAAAAAAAAACATGTAACAAAGCGCCATTGGTTTGAACAAGGCCTCAATGTCGCACATGCGTAAACGCGCATAAACCGGAGTCGTCATGTGCTTTTTTTTTTCTTTGCTGGATTTCTGCCAGCTTCTGGAAAAATGACTCGGTGTAGATGGGAGAATTTTAATGCGGGTGTGTACATGAGCGCTTTATATCTTTTCGATATTTATAATTTTTATATGATTCCTTTTTAGCTATACATGCTGTTTTCGGTCTTGTAACTAGCGTGCTGCAGTCATGTATAATGTATGTTGCATCTCCGACTGTCAGTTAAAAACTGCAGCCAATTTGCGATCCTTAGTTGTCCGGGTTTTTTGGCGTAATTTAGAAAATAATAGCTGGACCTACAAATTGTAAGATATATATATATATATATACA